ATTCATATTGTGTATTCAGTCATGGCGCACATCACCAAATAATAATTAGGCTTGTTATAAATCAAACAAAACCTCACAGGTCTCATAATTCTCAATATCACCACATATCGAATTAATAACTCCAACAACTATAAGTACGTCCAAGTTTATCAGCATACATCCAGATCAATCATGATATACACAATCAATGAAGAAAAAAGTGTTTATATCGTTGCAAATAATATTTAAATTATCGCACAGTGATATATATATATAAAGTTGATATGCAAGTATATCCAACTTTCTTCGCATACAGTACTCAAGTAATGATATATATATATATATATAGAGAGATATATATATATATATATATATGGGAATTCTGCCAGCTTGATTGTTTATATCATCACTAAATTTAACTATATTATTGTACAGATCTCTATAAAGTTGAATAATAAGCATGTCTAACTTTATCTGCATACATAGCCTCATGTAAAGCACTATATAGCAAATCTCACAATCTCGCTTGTATCGTCAACTAATTCAATTATGACACAAGTCAGAATTATGATTTTACAGTACATAGTCATAATTATAACAAAAAGTTTTCAATTATGACATTAAGTCAAGAGATGAAAAAATCATGACTTAAAAGTAGAAATTACAACATATTATATAGTCAGAATTATATGAAAAATTATAAAATTATAACATAATATATGAGAATTAGGACTTACAAAAACAAAAGATAACATAAGTCATTTTTATTAAATGAAAAGTAGAAATCATGCCATTAAGTCAAAAGTTGACTTTTCACCTCATAAATATGATGTGGTATGTCATAATTTTGACCATCGCATCATAATCATGTCTTTTTGTGTGATTATTGCTACTCTTTAGGTCATAATATTAATGTTTTATCTTATAAATATGACATAGTATGTCATAATTTTGACCATCGCATCATAATCATGTCTTTTTGTGTGATTATTGCTACTCTTTAGGTCATAATATTAATGTTTTATCTTATAAATATGACATAGTATGTCATAATTTTGACCATTGCATCATAATCGTGTCTTTTTGTGTGATTATTGCTACTCTTTAGGTCATAATATTAATGTTTTATCTTATAAATATGACATAGTATGTCATAATTTTGACCATCGCATCATAATCGTGACTTTTTGTGTGACTATTGCTATTTTTTAGGTCCTAATATTGACGTTTCATCTTTCAAATATGACTTATGTAATAATTTTGACTATCGCATCATAATCATGTCTTTTTGTGTGATTATTTCGACTCTTTAGGTCATAATATTGATGTTTCATCTTATAAATATGACATAGTATGTCATAATTTCGAAGTTGTCAGTCATAATAAAGATTTACCAAAGTATGTTTCTTTCTTATGTGTGTTCCATGCATTATATCGGTAAATTGCTCTTCAGATATCGGCACTCAGATAAGAGTTTGTTATCAGTATCGGCCGATGATAAACTCAAACAGTAAAGATCAAAGCACTGGCAACGACAAGGTCATGGGTTCGATTCCCAGGAACACGTGATCTGATTCAATGTAGATCTTTATTGCAAGTCCCTTTGGATAAAGCATCGGTCATGTATGAAGTGTGATTGACAGCTGTCTCACCTTGTTGAGTGACGGCACCAACAGTCCTCTCCATTTGGGCGCGTTCTCCTCACTGTAGAAATCATACTGGAAGGGCGCAGCCTGCATGACTGTGTGTGTGTGTGTGTGTGTGTGTGTGTGTGTCACATCCACCTGATCTCACACACCGGCTCAAAGCATCCAGCCAGAGGAGGAGGAGGAGGAAGAGCACACCTGCTTAATGTGACCATTTCATCCTCCAGACAGTCCGCCAGGCATGTGTTATCGATCAGACACCGATCAGATGTGTGTATCAGTGCGCGCGCATCTCCTCAGGGCTCCTCTGTTATCGATCAGATATCGATGAGGTATCGATCAGTCTGATCAGCGACTCCAGTCACAGAGCACATCTGTTTTCAGGACACTCGCTGTTTTTGATGCTGATGCGCGTGTTTTGATCAGATCTCAGTGTTTTATTGATCCGCGTTCATTCGGGCGGTTCATGAACATGCGCAATAAAACGCCTCCAAAAACTCTCTGCTCTCGGCGCGTTTCGCGTCAGCCGCCCCACACGCGCAGCGACAAACACACGAGCATCAGATGAAGCGCACAAGTCCAAACCGAGAGGAAAAACTGAAGGTAGAAAAGAAAGATTCTCTCCGCGGTTTGAAAGAGACGAAGCAAAAACACTGAGCGTGTGATGACGCGATGACGCACGGCGACGCAGGCGAAACTAACAGAGCGCCGGGACGCAGATCGCAGATCACTCCCGTCACCCGGAAAGTAAAACATAATAAGTATCAAATAATAAATAATAAGGATATAGCAAATTCAACAAGCATAATAATACATAATATTAAATATACATTAAAAAACAAAAAGTGCATGCTTACTTTTTTTTACATCTCTAAAATAGAATTTGAAATGGTTTGGATATACAGCTTGATTTTCTTTTTTATGATACTGATTTTTAGTTACTAAATGTGCTTTATCTCTGGGGTTTGTTAGAGTGCGATGACGCAATGACGCACGGCGCCGCAGACCAAACTAACAGAGCGCAGAGACGCAGATCACTCCGTCACCAGGAAAATCCTACATAGGAGTAGCACAATAAATGTGACAATTTTTCAAATATAGAACGTATAATACAATTAAAAATATTTTCATTACAAAATTATGTGCGTGCTCACAGTTTTACAGCTCTACGATTTTTTTAGAAATTACAATTGTTTTGGATTTATGCTTGATTTTGTGGCTTCCATTTCTAAATTAGTTTAATCTCTGGCTTTTTTCATGTTTTTTTTTTTTATGTATGATGTACGTCATTTTTTAAAACAAATTAAGGAGGGTTTACTTGATATTTACCCACCACAACACAATAATGATTATGTTTACCACCTGTGACGTCTTTCTTGAGAAACCATTGAGTTATTTGAAATACATATTCTTTGCTGTGTGGCAATATTACTAACGATATTAATATTATAAAAATAAATAAAAACTTCAGCGTGAATGTGATCACGTGACGATGAGCGGCGGCGCGCGCCAGTGACGTCAGTGCGCGTCTGGCGGGAATCTGACGGTTCGCGGAGTGTCAACAAACTCCTGAAGCGTTTCATACACATTTATTCGACCATAACGAGATTTATTCTGCTTATTCTCTTCCGTCGGTCGTGTCAGCTGTAGTGAGAGCGTCTCTCCCCCTGTAGTGTGTTCTGTTGTGCTGTTTATAGGTGGAGATATGCAGGCGTTTTTGAAAGGACCTTCCTCACAGAGTATTAAAGCTCAGAAACCTTCATCATCTTCATCATCATCAGGTGGAGAGAAGAAGCAGAGAGCACTTCCCTGGGTGGAGAAATAGTGAGACTTCATCATATCTGCATAAAAGCTCGATATTCATGTGATCTGACTGAGAGTTACTGAAATATCATATCAGCAAACGTTAAAAAATGAAACTGAATTATGCATTTTTGACCCGACGTGTGTTCATAGTTGACCTCAGATTTCACCTGTTCATGTTTTTGATCTCTTAATTAGCAGACCAAAGTGTGTGGATGAAGTGGCCTTTCAGGAGGAGGTGGTTGCAGTACTGAAGAAGTCTCTAGAGGGCGCTGATGTGCGTGAGGCGAATCATCAATGTCAAATGTTAATTTTATTTATATAGCATTATATAGCGAATCATCACAACTCACTAGGGATGGGCGATACCACTTATTTTGTTTTTGATACATACCGATACTTTAAAGGCCAGTATCGCCGATATGATGCCTCTAAACTGAACTTTTAAATAAAATAAAAAATCTTAAATTATTGAATTACTAAGAGTATAACTGGTAATGATACCCTCTTAACTTTATTATTTGAAATGCATTTTAATATTCAATACACCTTAATTGGAACTTATTCGATTTTTTTGTCTTTACACATGGTTAAAAGTTTACTTATAGTAGTAACCATGGAAATCTACAAAATATCGTAGGCCTAATTGAACTATGTCATTATAATGTCACTGTGATATCGATATTTTTATTTGAGATCGATACTCGACGTCAGTATCAATACTTCATATCGATACGCCCATCCCTACAACTCACGAGAACAGTTGAGATTTAACATGTTGCTAGCATGATTTAGCACAGTCCTAGCATGATTTAACGCGTTGCTAGCATGTTTTAAATTGTTGTTAGCTTGATTTAGCAACATCGGTATGTTGCTGCTACCATGATTTAGCATGATGTTGGCATGTTTTAACACGTTGCTAACATGCATTAGCACATTGTTAACATGTATTTAACATAATTTAACACATTGATAGCATGTTGATAGCATGTTTTAACATGTTGTTAGCATTATTTAACACATTGCTAACATGAATTGGTATGTTGTTAGCATGAGTTAGCATGTTGCTAACATGATTTGGTGTGTTGCTACCACCATGATTTAGCATGTTGCATGTTAGTGTGATTTACTACCTGGCTAGCATGAATTGGCATGTTGTTAGCATGATTTGGCGTGTTTTGCTAACTTGGTTTACATTAATGCGTCTGGCAGACGCTTTTATCCAAAGCGACTTATATTGCATTTTAAGGCACACATTTACATTCTTATCAGTTCTTGCTTTCCCTGGGAATCAAACCCATGACCTTGGCGTTGCAAGCGCCAACGCTCTACTGTTTGAGCTAAGCTAACAAATTGGCGTAATGATGATGTGCTCTGTTCTCTCAGCTGCCCAACCTGCTGTTCTATGGACCGCCTGGAACCGGAAAGACGTCCACCATCCTCGCGGCGGCCAGAGAGCTTTATGGGTAAGCTCTGCAGAACGACGATGCTGATGCGTTCTGAGATTCAGACGCGCGTGTGCTAATATCCTGGCGCTGTGCTTTAGGCCCGAGCTGTACCGACAGAGGGTCC